CCTCGCGTAACATGTAGTAAGTATGAAACTATTAAGATGTGTTTCAGTGAAAAAAATCCTAAATGAACGGAAAAATTATTGCTTATTTTAGTGCTTAGCCTATGTTATTGGAACTTTTCATCTTGTCTCATCTCGACTGCTTGTGATCACAATTGCTGTAATCCTAATGTATGATAATGTAAATATTTGTCACCTGTTTTATATAACACTTTTACCGGCTTCCACAAAGCGCTAGCGGGTACTGTACTGGGTACTGTAACCTGAAAAGTCGGTTGAACAGTAAAATAACAGAATAAATACGCGAAGTATATCCAAAAATCATAGTTTAATTTTAGTGTGTACTCCTAAATATCGTAGGTATAAATTTTCTTAGTAATTACTTTACCTAAACCTTGTTCTTAAAGGACTCTTAATTTTTTTTTCCTGTAAACGATATCACTTTTTGTAAACAAGTCATCTGAGACATTATTTATCTCAAGTCACTTAAAAGTTGACCCTCGAAGCGTCGAGGTGAAAGTAATCGCCGTATCAAAGCGAAATTTGTCAAAAACATGGTTCCGGTCGAAGTTCGTCAATTCTCTCCAATTAATAACTCCGTGCTATCTCATTTCCGCTTCAGGGCTTCAATATACTTCTGTCCCCCTCTTGTCCCTCTTGTTTGAGGAGCCCCGCTGAGATAGAATATTGCCACTTTGTCGCGCGGCCTCCCGCGGGCTGTTTGTACACAAAGAAATTGCAATTTTTCTAGCGTCGACGCAGGAAAATATATTGAAAATTTTAAAGTTCCACAAAGCAAAGGAAATAGCAAGGCTCAGTCAATTGCGGAGGTTGACGAACTTTACCGCCATCAAAGTTTTATCTAACCAGAGTAAAAATTTCATAGTTTTTTCTAGTATCACGTAAAGTGAATTTTAACGAGTATTCCAGACATATACCATTATAATTTACTTTATAAAACTGAAAAACTAACGGAACTAAAAATTCATAGGTTTTCAAACAAAATTACCTTTATTTGCAAAAAAGTGTATATTCGCTATAAAACTAAAAGTTATTTAAAAATCTTTGACCGGAATGTGTTCATTATTATTAGTATTACTGATTTCTATTCATATGTATATTTAAAACTTAATAAACTTGTTACAAAATGTCATACTAATAAACTATATACGTAAAAAACCTTCTATTTGATAATGCATAAAGCACGCCTCGTTTGCGAGTCAGTGAAAATGCGGTGGAATTTATATAGAGGTTTTATAGCAACTTTTTGTATTGAAGTTAATTACTAAAAAGTAGTAACATTATTATTGCAACTAACTTTTATGAAGGATTCTATTCATTTTGTGATGAACTAAATATTGTTGTTAACAAAAGTAACCTAATAAAAGCATTTTTCTCAGTAAGGAATGCAAATATATTAAGAAAGAAAATGTCATATAGATTTTGTATTATTATTTTTAGAACCAGTCATTAAAATAATTGTGTATGCACTCATTATTTATACCTTTATTTATTGTCTATGACTTTCTTTTGCCTAATAGCAAATTTAAGCACTAGTAATATTTTTAATAATATTATAAAGCGCTTCAGAATTAGTGATTTGTATAAAATATGTTTTTCTTGTTTAAATCTTTCAGCTCACTTGCGCTACACTTGACGAGATTTTTAGGATGTTTAACATCAAATTAAATGGTAAAACAAACTCATTTCAACATTTTTTATTTATAAGGATTAATATAAAGAAGGGTTATATAAATGAAACATCAAATATATTGTAAAATAACATCTTTTCTTATTATTCACGAAAGCAATATTGCGTACATCCACTTACTGGTTATCAATATTTAGACACAACATTTAACATACAATCACATTCATCTGGCACTCCATGTCTTTTATACGTCAATAAATCACTCGTTCATTACATCAAAACACGACGATCAAATATTAATATCGGTCAATTATACAATTATAATCAGACCTAATATTTGACGAAATTTCGGTAAAACATTCTCTCGGTATATTTAAAATGGTTTATATTAAATGCCAATATAATATAACATCTACTTAGTTACGAAACAATTTTACAGTTATAAAATAATATTGTAATAATACAAAAATATAATAACTGTTCTCACTAAAAAGAACTCGGGGTAAAGAGGATACATATCAAATTACTTGAATCATTAATATTACCGTAGGTAGCAAATAGCGCATACATAATTTAAATAGTTACACCATAATAGCGATAATCTTATAATTTTGAACATATAAAATACTAAGAGTAAGAACCACATTAAGCTAGTAGTGATGACAAAAAGATGTAATAGAAAAAATACGTTTATTTCCATATTTCACTGAGATCTGTTTAAGTACGAACTTTTATCAAAAGTAAATCTTAATTTTATGTTGTGATTTAAATGAAACTATTATTTTTCGGATCACGGGTACTGAAAAGTAACCAAAACGTCGAGAGTATGTAGTTTTTACAATAATACGCGTAGTATAATCCGAAAAATATTAGTTTCATTTAAATGAATACTGGCGAAAGTCTTAGATCTCATTATAGGTATTGTGATCTGTTCCTTATATTATTATGTCGTTGGCTACCAAATAACAGCTGGTATTAATAGTTTTCAATTTCAAATTCCACAGCCAGCACAATGAATACGGATTCAATACAAGAGGTCAGTCAAACATCATTCAATATTAACGAAACCAAATTATCTATTTATAGTAACGGGATTATTTCTAGTATGACGATTACTTTATATAATTAACATTTAACTTTAATTGATAGTAATAAAAATGCAACATCAGACCCTCGTTAATTAATATTATGAAGGTACAAGTATAAACTGAAACGAAAATATTGAAATAGAATAACTATGTACAGACATTCATATGTATGAATAAATTTATTTATTTTGCGCTTTATTCCCCAATCCGAATAAACAGAATTCGATATATTAAAATGTTATGAGTATTTTAAAAGATATTTCTTGTAAACACTACAATCGGATTCCTTTACCGTGCAATTTTATAACTAGTCACATATAAATTGAATTTTACTTATTAACTATCAAGATCAAAAAATTCTACGTAGTTCTTTGGTTATTTCATAATCGTAATACAAAATAGGACATATATTTAGATAGCGCTTCTAGCGATCTATTGCATATCCTAAAAAATATTTTCACCGTCTTACTACAAAGGACCAAAATCACCCATTTTAGTTGAGAAATACGATTCACTGTCTAAATTCTACCTGGCGTGTTTTTTGGCAACTTGATTTGTAGTAAGACCCACATATTGTATATAATAGACATGAAAATACAAACAGCGATATACAGATTACAAAACATCAACCTTAATGCTAATGCGCCAAATAATTGCAATTAAAAGTCTAATCGCTCGAAATGCCTAGAGTTAAACACCCTGTATGATCCATAACGCGTTTATTTGATAGATATAATAAGTACATAAAAAACCTTTAAACAATGTCTTGCATTTATCTTTGTAACCAATTGTACATAAATAAATTAACAATAATAAAAATGCGTTGTAAAGTATTGCGCAGAACCTTGTTGATGAATAACAAAACTCGTTATATTTTCACACTATTGCAACTCTCCCGACAACATGTGTTATAAGAATGTTAATAAAATGAGCTAGTAATAAAAAGCAGGATCACTTACTCTTGTAGAGGAAAAGAGCATCAAAATAATGAAACACATTAAAAGGCTAAACAGAAATAAGCACGTTACTCGTAGACATTATCTATGAAAAACGATGATGATAACATCTATAACCATAAATTCGAAATCCATTGAAACTACCACGATTTTTAAACTTACCGTTTCTAAACGCAACCAACGAGCGCGGAATGACATGGACGCGGTGACATTATATTATTTTGACACTTCACTGTCACTTTGACAGCCGCACCCGCCAGCGCTTTGTGGAAGCCGGTAAAAGTGTTATATAAAACAGGTGACAAATATTTACATTATCATACATTAGGATTACATAAATATATTTTTATAAATTGTGGTTAATAGACAATTATTTCTTGTTCGCGGTTTACGCATCCATCTGGCCTCTAGAGATTATTTTCTTGGAAATTAAAGTTTTTTAATGACAATTTGTTTTTACTTTACTTTAAATGAAACTGGATATGTGAATGAATTTATAAGCAATATATTTTATCGGTTTATTGCATTGTCTTCATTTCCATATGTAATAATCCCTGGAAGTCATTCCGCAGTAATACCACTACTCACTACTGTTTTGGTGTTGATCCTTTAGCCGGCCTGGACGGACTTGAATGTCCTCAGGAACTCTAACCTATCTTAAAAAATATCTTACCATCGTATATTTAAATTTACTAATACAAAACTCTAAGTCCCCCATAAAAATTAATTCCGTTTTGCATCGACTTATTACTCGTATAATAAGATTAATGTATGTTGTATTATATACACTTAATATACGTATTACATATAAATTTTTAGAATTAATCATTTCCAAATTGATTGATGTTTATGAACTGAATATCGATTATTTGACAGTACGAAACAATCAAATAATATCGATATCCCTATAATACGATCCGTTTTGTATTTCATGTTTACGAATTCTAAGAATCCATCGTTAGTTCTATCTAAGTTGTTTACATAAACACATATCACTTCATAGGAAATTATATATTAATCTACTTACAATTACCATATCACTTTTATTTTAAAAAATATACAGTCTGTATCCTTGGATCCGATCGGACTTCACGTAATTTTATTTTAAATAAATATAAATAATATCGATTCATGTAAATTATCCATTGATATTTTGAGGTATGAATATTTTTGTTAAAATAAACATTGTAAAAATATTTTGGTAGGCACATCGGTATCTTCTAAATTAGATAAACAAAGAAGAAAGCAATGAGAAGATTTGCCTGTGCTGGGAAGATAAGAAATGAATTGTATGAAGTTTTAGACATGTTAGATATAAGTACTGAGTGCTTGTCGAAAGTCGTGTAGGGCGGCCAAGAGCTGTGGAGCGGTGGGGCGAGCTGAAGGAGAAGTTGTCCAACACCATGACATTAAGCCATACCTAGTTGAACATATTTGCGTATGAGTAGTAGATCTATATTATTAAAAAGACATTTAAATCATTATTGTTAAAAAGACACATATACAAAGACACGTGTTTAATCCAAAGTGAGTAAGTGAAATATTTTTGAGTTGAAACAATATTAACTTCAATGTTATATTTTTTGTGTCATCCTTAAAATTATAGAAATAAAATTTTCAAAAGAAATACGAATATTGTATTATAATTGAAGCTGATATTTTGAATTTTCCGGAAAAAAATATTCACGATAACAATAAGCGCATGTCATTCAAATTAATCGAAACGTCATTTTAGATTGAAATGTAAATCGTACTATATTTAACTGTAAAAAAGTAAGTCCCTGGCTGTTATTGATGATGGTTAAAATACTCACAATTCATCAGGACAATTATGGGGTTGCGAAGGTCTATAGCCACCGTTAAGAAAGGCCCCGACGTCGGCCGCGTCTAACTCTGATAAAGGAGCCGCTCCAAGGGTTGCTAATTCCCATAGTGTTATTCCCAATGACCACTGTATTCAAAGCATTTTCATTAAGTACAAAGTTTTCAAAGGGCAAACAGTCCTTCATTATTCATTCAGAATCTTATAGGAAGTTTTATACAAATATGTTCCACAAATTTGTCAAAACTATCATTAGCCTCAATAAGATCTTACCACATCAGACGAGGTCGTGCACTGTCCTTGCAAAAGAGACTCTGGCGCCATCCATTTAACCGGTCTATTTTCATTGTCCCCAAGACAGTGATAATCATCCGGGAACAAATCCCGGGATAGCCCGTTGTCTGTAACCCTTAGTCTCAACTTTTCATCCACTCTGCGTAGGGAAAATATGTAAGGGTGAAAGTGTTTTAAATGATAAGTAAAAATTGTCAAGACATTTCTTCAAATCTTACAGTAAATATGTTTAAAGAAAGTTGTTAATTCTTCTTCTCCGTCTGTAAGTATGATTGTAATTATTTAATAATAATAATTTATTCTGTTTTAATAAAATAATTTAATGAAAATTTCAAATAAACAAACATATTTATTACAACAAATAGAGTACGAATTACTAACAGTTAACTCTTAATACCTTTAAACTACGTACATTACTTTTATATTATTACATGATTTGCAGTGATCCTCCTATATTTAATTAAAAATAAGGCCCATACAAGTAACTTATTCCATCACCGTCTTAATCAAATACAAGGAATCAAACAATTGTACTACAATTTATCAGCTAGGTTTCATCCTGAATATAACAAAACAAACCTTAAAACTATACTTACATGCAGTTCCTAGTAGCAATATCAGTGTGTATGACTCGTTGCACGTGTAAGTATGCCAGCCCACAGGCGATCTGTGCTCCAAGATCGACTAGCTCACGAGTCGCGGGCGCGGCTTGATGCCCGAGACGACAAGATGTAAGGAACCTATTATGAGAAGTGGCTTTTGTAATAGAATATACATTTTTTTTTCTATTTTATCGACCCCATTTGTCTAAATGAAAAGAATTAGCTTATCATCATGGAATTCTAAATTTATATGATTGAAATACAATTTGTATATCAATATTTATGTAATTTATTTATTACAACTTGTACAATATGAATGGAATTAGTGTATCAATTGAGTTTAATAATTGATATTTTATATTTATACATTATGACATTGATATAAAATGTTAAGTTGTTTGTAATTATCCTGTTTTCTTTTATTAAAGGAGTTCAAAGCGGAGTAGGTTTATCAATTTCAAATTATATTTTTTATGTGTGTTCTTATATTACTTCATTCTGTATAAACTGATAATGATATTTCTTCTTTTATAAGAAAGATGATATCCAAAGAATAGTACGATATTTAAAAAAAAGTAGTATCTAATTATGGATCCTAGAAAAAATGCTATTTACCATCGAATGTTGGTCAACTTAAATTTAATGATCATATTATATAAGTATTAAACAGAATATACATTTAATTTTATTTTCTTGTATAAATATTAATGTATAATATTATTCCCGAAGTTTTATTTTCAACTCGATGGGAACGCATTAATTAAATTTTGGTTGTTGTTTTGGTCTGCGGTTCGGATACAATTGTTGCCATAAAGATTAATATCATAATTCAAGCGTGAACCGAAAGCAAAACTAGACATTTGTTTATTAGAAAAAATCTTATATGGAATAGATTAAATTCATATTAGTAAGATATTTTTAATTTTCTTAAGTAAATAATAGTTTCTTTTAAGTGAACTAATAACTAAATACTCGTATATTGCAGTTATTAAATGAAAACAGATCTTTCTGTTGTAATTTGCCTCCACTCACCTTTTCAGATTAGAAGAATGCGATACGCAGCAGTACACAAGGAGGGGCTTCCTGGCTTCTTCCGCACAAGCAGCCATCGGGGTCAACACATTAGAATGCACCAAACCACATAATCTAAGACCCTCCGCCAGCAGTAAAGCCGCTTGCATTGCCGAAGCCGCATCTACGATACGAACAGTATATTTTTAACAATTCTATATTCTTAATATTATAATTAAGTTTTCAATACTTACCAGACACAGTCTTCACGAGCACCTCTTCATAGGTGTCGCCTCTTTTGAATACCCCTTTATAAACTCTGCCGAAAGTACCTTCTTGGACCAGTATTTCGAGACGAATGTTGGATCGAGGTGTGGTCAGATAACGCAGTTGTTCAGCTGGCTCCGTTATGCGGTCCTTCGTTATGGTTTGCTAGTAATAATGAAAAAAATATCTATAATTATGTAATATTAAAAGGTTCGATGGAACTTAAATAATATATGATGAAAATCATCGGTCACTTAATAGTTATATATAATAGTTACGTAATATACTTTATGAATTTGAATAAAAAATAAAAAAATTAATGTTTATTAATCGTAGTATCCATAATACATAAAATAAAGAGTAGAGTAACAAAAACATTATTTTTGTAAGCTTATCGACAACGTTACAAACATCTGGTCATCTTTCAATCAGATAATTACTTTTTCTATCTTCGTTAGTGGTTCGTCTACAGGACAATAATTCATATTTCCTAATAAAGACTTCCAAGAGTGCGATAACTTTATGAACAAATGGGGTAACAAATTAGAAACGTCTGTCCCTGCCAAGCATAATATGGAAAGATGTTCAAATGTAAAAGAAACGCGAAAAGTCTTGAACATATTTTGATTTTAAGGAAGTACTGCTTCATATTCCCATATATTTGAATTTGTGAATTGAATTATAAATATCAATTTATTTATCGTTCATTTAACGGATATTCAACAATAAAAATTCATCGATAAAGAATGAATAAAAAAAAAGTTTAGTGGATATAAAATTTGTTGTAATTATATTTTCAATTTTCACTCTTAACTGAAATTAAAAAATAAATAATCATTTAAAACATGTTTTTACTTTGGTTTAAGTTTATAATTCCTGTTAAACCTTAATCCCGAACTCACTAATTGCATTATATTCTCGTCACCTGATGAGGCCTCAGTTAAAATTAAATCCTTAGTGAGATAAAGGATAAACGTTCTGTCTAGTTCAACTTCAACCAAAGAAAAACTTCCTTAATGAGTTCTCTACAACTGGAGATTGTTTTTTGAAAAAATATTTTTTTTCATATAATTAGGTGTAAAACAGCGTTTTTATCAAAATCAAGATAAATCCAGTAATTTTTTATAGTGAAAAAGAAATGACATAATGAATGAAATAATGAGGAGTGGCTAGAAACACTCATTTATAACAAGAGTCGAGTAATGTAGGTGATTGTGGTCGGTATATTTTGAGGTCGGAGAATTACGTTTGTGGATATTAATTAGGGTTTTGGAGATTTATTGTTTTACCTCTATTCCATTTGCAGTTTATTTGTTTGTACTAACACTATATTTATATCATTTGATTTTATTTTAAATTATATATTCTCTTTAGTCAAGACTAGACGTTATACTAGAAACTTATAAATATATCATATTATTAATTGTCTGCCATGGAGACACCAATATTCAAGGTTCAAAGATTTTTCCCATCAATTAACCGACACAGTCTGATAATGTATGTATTCTGAAGAAATATCTCAATCGCAAATGGTAAGATTATAATATCCTTGGTTATTGTATATTACCTGCGACACATGAGTAAGGTTTGAAGCAGCATAGTACGACACCCGAGATTCCGGTTTCGCGTAGATGTGTTCACCGATGTGTGTCGTTGCATACGGTGAAGGAGATCTTCGACTGCCTGTTTGACAGTGATTTTCTAAATCTAAACGTATACAATTTACACTTAAACAGTTGGTACTTTCGCATTAGCGGTTCGGCTTAATTATATCTAGACGCCTCCCCACAGTTTGAATGTATAAAATGCCTAGATGGAAGCCAATGTGAAACAGAAACAAATTATCAATAAACTGTTCAAAGTAATTTATTTAAAATCAATTTCAATACAAATCATTAGGCACTTTTAAACCCATCAGATGAAATGGGACAAAAGAGTCACAGACGAATGAAAATTAATTATCTTATTGAAATTGTTTTCTCTATAGTATGATGAATCGTCTGCTGAAAGCAATGAAAAGGTCAATACAAAAATTTAACATCAATACATTGGTAAAATGTATTGTGTGGAAATTGTAATATTGAGATATCAAAGGCTTTTTTCACTGATAATTTTAAGTAGGAGTATTTGTGGTGTTGTTAAATGGAGGCAAAATTTGTAAAATTTATTAATTTATATTCAAAGTTTTTCACTGATATTTTTTTCAATATTGAATTACAAGCAATTATTATGAAAAGGAAAAGTAAGATGACTTACCGAAAGGAAACTTATGAAGGCTGGCGATAGTAGCGTACGAGCCGGTGGAACTAGGCGGTCTTCCCAACGTGTCAAGACGAAGTAATACGTTCTGATGACTCCCATAAGCCGCTGTGGTATATGACGTGCTAGGTGGAAAGCAATTGGTTTACATCTACTGTTCAACAATTTTTTATTCTAAATAAAACCCTTTTAAAATGAAACTAATATCTTTCGGATTACTACGTGTATTTTATTATTTTTAACAACTGAATACTCCAGACGCTTAGAATACTTTGCAGTAACCGTAATAACGGACTGACGAGAACTTAGATCTCACAATGAAAACCCTTTTATTATTCTAAGTGATATTTATAAAATTACAAACAAACATTTACAAATTCACTTTTTTGTCGTCATAAAATAAATGAAGTTATAATTATTACCTAATTATTTAAATGCAATGTTGTTTGTTAAGACAGGCAATACAAACAAAGATTTTTAGATTTGTTTGTGTCATTAGGCTCGTATAGAAACTAAGGAAAAGAGAAAATAAGTGCAAACGATACGAGAAACCTTTCAAGGCTACAGTATAAAATTTCAATGGCAAACCACTAAGGTTTGCGGACGGTATTGTTAAAGAAATTAAACAAATTGATTTATAATTAAATAAATCACAAAAAAAGAACAAAGTGTTATTCGTGTTTGATTTAAGGCTTTCTCGAAGTTATTGATTAGTCTTATTTCGTTTCTTTTTCGTATAGTTTCAGAGTACAAATACATAGTTTATTGTAGCATTTTCTTCCTGAACAAATAAAAGTTGGAACAATTCTTATCTCAGCCGTCCGTAAGCGAATATATCGAACCATTATTCATTGTAAACACCAAAGTGGGGCGCAATTAAATGTCACTCTATAATTTATTGTCTATCGATAGAGCCTTTGCTATCATCCATCAGAGGGGTGCATCTACCAATATGTTTTAATGATCAAACTGTTTATTTTTATTTTTTAATACTTTATAGTGATCGTAATACGCTATAAAAATGTAACTGAAACATTAATTTTAACTATTCTGTAGTGGCATCGATAGTACTACCTAATACAGTAATTTATTGGGTGTACTGAAATATATTGGTTATCGAAAATCAAAGAAGTATTCATATTTACATATGTTTTTATTTATATTTTGTTTACGCACTCTGTATATTAATTATAACTGATTTGTTAAGTTTATTTATTTCTCCTCGAAATGATTGTAATCTTGAGAAATAAAGTGATTTTAAACCGTAAAAAAAGAATTCTTGAAATCTTTAAAAAAAAGTTTAATAGATTCTCATTTTGAAAATGAAGTTATAAAACTTTTGACAAAGAATTTATAAAGGTTCCAAAAGCAAATAACTAAACTTGAAAACTCATTAATTCCTCATTTTTCTAATAGAGTTTTTTTTTATTTAAGAACATTAATAGATTTAAAACTTTATAATATATACACCTTTTATAAAACAAAAGAAATTGAAGATTTTATATTCAAGGAAAAACGTATATACATAAATAAGGACTGTTACTAAAGAATGACAAAAAATCTTTTGGTAGAGGAAACACTATTACATAAAACAATTTTTTTAATCAAATAACTGAACCGATTATTTAAGCATTTTAATTCAAAGAGAAAAGCTGTTAGTTCTAATAACATTTACAGTAATACCGCTAGATAAATTAATATATCATTCCTACTACTCACTGTATAGAATCGTGATGTCGAGCTTTATTGCCTCTCCGGTATAAAGTCCCAGCTGCTGCTACTCCTGCCAGGAGTGCTAGTGCAGCAGCGGCACATCCACCTGCAGCAAAAAGTACTCCACCCGAAGTGCTGCTCGCGTCACCAGCCAATCGAGCTGTATCATTGTGCTGTATGATCGTTGATAAACCTAAATAATTACAAAAACTTAATGTATGTTGAAAAAGAGAAGATTATTTCTTAACCAAGTTTATGTTTGCATGTAATATTATGCTTGTCATAAAATTCCCTTAGAATCTTTTGCTATAATATGCCTTAGTAAAATGTTCGTTATCGCATAGCTTTTCAAAAAAAAATATCAAATAATACAGTCCAAATCATCTTTCAAATTGCCACTACTATACTCGTATTTTGTGTGAGTTAAAAGTATATTGAGTCAATAATATCTGTAAACAGTAGATACAAAGTCTATAATATGTAACCGTCAGATTTTTTAACTTTTCAAAGTTTTAGACACGGCTGTCAGGGAGAGGAACTTGCAGATAAATTTATTACCAAGTTCAAACCCACCCTGTTTTGTGCTCATAAATTTTGGGTAAGTAAATGACCTAACTATAAGGTAATTTAGAGGCAAAAACAATTTATACCCTTAAGTGGTTACCACGGAGTGTAAAACATATTAAAATAAAGCACTAATCAACAGTAGAAAAAAGTTTTCGGATAAGCATTTAGACGCAATAAATAAATATTATGAGCATATAAAACAATTACAGAGAACAAAATAATATATCCAATTCCTATCGCACACAACATTTTATAATTAAGATAGAATATAGGATTTGTTTAAAAACTTTCTCATAGAACATCTAACATGCTAATATAATTAATTTAATATTTTTATTATAGTTCTAACTCATGAAAAAAATAGTCGTCAACCTTTTATCAAATACATACTTTAATACAAAATTTATAAAAATGTAATTTTGTAATAAAGATATTAAAAGTTAAATTAAATTTAAACTATATATGTATATCACGAAAATGTATAAATAATATACAATACGTCATAATTATTAATTAACTTCCAACCGCACACACAGGCTCATAATTATAACCATACAATATAATACATTATTAATTTCACGCTGAAAATCAACGCTTAACGGAGAAGCGTTCCCATTCGTTCCCTTATATTAAGGGAAACCCGCTAAATGAAATATTAAGGATAATAGAAAAACTTTTAAGAATAGGGAGAATCGACGTGCAACCAGGTTTTAATAAAGCGTTCCTAAAAAAGGGAGATTTAATAAAATTATAATAAATTCTTCTGTTAGAAACCTTATGAAATGTTACACGGCATTGAATAAAATAACAAAAGGCTGTTGTCAAAAACGAATTGCTTTTTAATTTATATTGATTTCATAAAAATGTATTTTCAGAACTTTTTGATGTTTAAAACTAGATGTTATCCGATGATAACAGGCGAACCTATTTGTTTACTATGGAGTTGATTCATTTTAAAGATGGACAAACCTGATGCATTATTCAAATAGTATCATTCTAATATAAGAACTTTATTTCTTTTATACAAATTAAGACAAACTCACATCTATATTTCTAAATTGCATGATAATTCTACAAAAATATATTATAATACAAAACAATTTGCAATTATAAAAACGTGTTAAATGTGAACTGTTTTAAATTCGATTTTCTCGTTTCTAAACTAAAGTTGTTAACAGATTTTCAGCAGAAAGTTAAAAGCGTAATTAAAATGTAACTACAGAATGTATTATATAAGTTCTGATACGAATTCTCAAATGTCTACAATACTAAGGGATATTTAACTGGTCGCATATTTGAAAACTGAGCTCTTTTATAATAATTTGGTTCTTTTTTAGTTCGTGGATACTTTGCTTCAACAGTTAAGATAAAAGATCTTATTTTTAATAGTGTTCTCTAAAATAATAACTATAAATTCTGTCAAAAAGTTAATATTAATTCCTTAAAAACGACATCATCTGTATATCGAAAATATCCAAATTATTAAGTTAATTTCACCATCTGGTATTAATAAGAAAATTTCAAATTAAAATTAGAAACAACAAAATAATTATAGTACAATATTTCAATAATTTAAATCTCATACCAATTACTGAATCGTAAATTTGATAAAACGTACAATAAATTTGACGCTGAAACAAAATTTCCAAGTCAAATAAAATTACAATAGAACAATCGATACTTCCTTGTAAACACATTAAAGAGGGGAGTTGAGTGCCGCCCCTTAATACGTCTTCATCCCTAGCAAAATATCCTGTTGCGTCTACCGAATCGTCTGCATGCTAATAAAGAATGCGAGGGAGTGATTTGTTGAGTGAGTAAACTTGTATTTACTCATCTGTGAAAGAATCAAACGGGGCCTGCGAAAACGTTTGTAGCTTCAAACAGGGTAATTGGATGTATTTTATTCATAAATTGCTTTCCATTAAATAGTATTCGCAATGTGTATACATTAATACTATAATATTGCTTCTGAAAACAAAACTAAATCACTATGATGGAATAATTTATATATTTATTAGTTAAACAGAATACAAATAAGAAGTTTTGTTATGTAAAATATGACGTCAAAACGTCGAATGGTTATCTGAAATTGTACGCTCTGCTGGTATTAAAATATGTATCGGGAAATATGCAAAGTAAATCGTGAACGATATCTGATAACGTCACTTAGATATGACACGGTGTGAAGCAGGATTTACCACGGAAATCGCTTTCCTTATACAAAATTGCGATTAACCGAGATTTTGTTTATTTCGCTTAATTTTTTTTCGTCTGAAACTTTGTGCAATAATTTTGATAGAACAGTAGAAGCTCATCTGAATAAACACACTATGATAGAAGCCGCCCCACTTGAAGCAGAGTTAGAAAATTTATAGTTATTATTATTGCCATAGAATGTGCTTGGAAAACTTCGGTTTTATATTGCTTTATGTGCTCTTAGTATATCTATTGGTCGTTATAAAGAGCTTGGGGGATGTGGCAAGTTCAGCAATATATCAAAGAACTTTATGAATGTTACTGTTTTTAATGAACTACGAGTGTTTTATTTAAATGTTGCAATAAAAACATTATTTGTTTTATATAGCTTTAGGATGAAGGCAAATTAATGGCTAATAACTTTTTAGAATATTTATAGTACTGGCAAGGTATATTACGATTAATGGCGTTAGAATGTATTTACCTACTTTATTTAATTACTTTTTAAGACTACAACGTTTATACAGATATTATATTGTATATCAGAACACAAACTCACCTTTCAAACAAATTTTGTTTCTCTTAAACACCAGCCGTACATCTTTGTGTGCACGATCCGGTGCTGAAATATTTAGTTGCATGGTCACAAGGATTTCGGCACTCCTTGAACCAGTGCACGGCAAACGGACCCTGGTTGAATAACATTAGCAAGTCAAATTCAGTTAGCTATGCAATAACCACATACATATGTATGGGTAGAAAATATTATGCTCACTTTTATACTTTAATATAAATAAACTATTAAAATATAACCATAAATTTATATTTGTTTGTCCAAGACAGACACGTAATATAGAAGAGTAAATGTTTTTTCACGCAACTGTATCGAATTTTACTTAAAGAATATAAAGGAAGAAAACTTATTCAAGGTTAACGTGACCTTGCCAACTTACCTAAAAGTCTGTAACGTGGTGGGCACGTACCCCCGCTCCGATATATTGACTTGCGGCGGCAACATGGCGCCCCGACTCTCGTAGTCTATACTTATCACGTACGGCAGCTGACAAACAATGCATTAATAACACACTAGTGTATATTACTATTGTTATTTGATTATCTTAATATACAAACCAATAAACTGTAAAAAAACTTACAAAAACTGACAATATCAGTATCGGTGGTATATAAAAGTTACGTAGTTATGTCGTTGGTAATATAAAATTTGCATAAACATGATGTTTACGAATATCAGACATTGATAATCTATTATTGCATATAAAATATGTAATCGAGTTAAATATGAATCTACTCATTTAACCAAACAATATGAAATGTGAGGGAGAAAGAAAGTATACATATCACGTAGAGAGAGTGCACAGAATTATCCAACAAGAATAATCTCCAACGTGACTGAGCATTTAGCAACGAGAAACGTTCAGAATTTTATAGTGGAGCCTTCACGTCCTTAATTTCTTGTTCTTGTTAGTACAGAGTCTGTTTATAATCTTATCATTTGTAATTTCATCACTTCACACTTTGAAATTCAAAAATATGAATGCAAGCTGCTAGTAGAATAAATAAAGTTATTGTATATGTAGCATACTTTTAAAACTTAATATGATATAAATAAATGCAAATAAAAGAACCTTTGTCTATCATCTGAAGAAATAAAATAAAATGTAGACAAGTTATTTTCAAATAATTCAGCCGTCAAATAAGAAAATTCGACTCTTCTGTTTATATAAATTACACTGTTTTAAAACTCAACCGGGAAGTACAAAACGAAAGAGAAATAAAAGTTGTTTTCGTGTTTAAGTTAATTGAATTTAAAAATGTTAAACTGCTACTCACTACTTTTAAGTTTAAATGAACCGAACTTGTTATAAATCTCGGCAGATAGAGTGATTGAGTTTACCCTTTGTGATTTTATTTCATTTTATTACATTTGAACGACACATATTAGTCTTTATATATAACTTTAAGAATTTTTTTAATATAAGCTAATTCAAGAAGGCCTTAGAATTAAACTACGTTTTTAGAATTGCTTTACTGTATTGAACTTTTTTTTCATGTATGTGAAGATTTTTTCATACTTTCGAAAGGTAATAAGACAAAACCACAAGGTATTCTCCATTTATGTTTTAGTTCTAAAGCTTGGGGGAATATATAAGAATAGCCGCTTAAAAAAGCAAGCATGTAAATAATTTAAATATAACATCAAGAGATGAAGCTCTAACCTTCCTCATAAACAATATGTACACATGACACTTAGGTTCAAACGATGTTTCCTTTTGAACTATTACACTATTGCATCAATTTCCAATATCATACAAATAACATAACATTAATATAACATTTACCGGTTTCCGTCCCAGAGCCTGCCACATAAACTCCAAGTCAGTGATGTGAGCTGGCACGGGTACTATAAAACCAGTAGCATACGTATTCACGACACCTTCACGAACGTAGTAAAGTTCCGCGTCCAAACCTAGAACAAAAATATACGGTTAGTCTCATTTAAATATATGGCTATTCTCATATAATGCATTATAAAAATACCTAGACTGAATTGCTCATTTATCTTATTATAATCCAATATCATTGATATGTAAAAAGCAATTTATTTAAATTCAAACATATAGAATAATATGTGTTTTATTTAAAATCAAAAATATATAATATATGACTTATGATAATAAATTATTTGATTTAAAGGCGAACTCATAGTTTTATGACTCAACTTTTTTATTATTCCATCTATATTTACTGACTTTCTTAGTTGAATATACTATACTATCATCACTGTTAGAAATATATTTGCTCTATAAATCTTGTTATTCTAATTTTTTCTTTGGATAATGTCTGGTTTGCTATATTAAACCTAATAGGAATATGAATAAGGATGATAATTCTTTTTATACTAAGGCGTTTTTAAGTTACAGATGAACGGATGCAGCGAACAAATGGCACTTGTCTCCCCAGATGGTAGTTCAATTCCCTTGGGGCGTAGTGCGTCAAATTATCCAACTAAGTCCATTTGCTAAGCAAAAAAGGGCAACGCTACAAATTTGTGCTTCGCATTTTTGTGCAACGAAATTACTACGTGAGTTGCAAATAAATAATTCAATCGTCCTAATGTTTTTTGTAAGTTCTTTCTTTTTTAATTTTTAAAGTGTCGCTTTTGTTGTACTTGAGTTTAGTATTTATTTATTTAATTTTGTTGTTCCTTTACATGCCAGTTTTAAATATGAAATACTGAGTTAAATTGTTTCAACTATTGAGTATTATGTATAATTAATATATTTTACTCTAAAAGTTTAAAAATAAAACGTTAAAAAAAAATTAAACGGATGAAAAGTAAAAGCTCTACATATTAGTCGAGTGTGTAACCATATCCAGGATTCAACGATAACAAATCCGTTTACAGTCCATATTTTTCAAGAGACACTCCATGTTATATAGCTTGGAATATACGAATGTTGGTTGGGTTGTGAAATATAAAAAAATATATAAGTATAAACCAATCAGAGTTCATTTTGAGGCAGTAAAGCGGACGCGACTGTCAAACGGACTGAATATGAAGTGGCACTTTGCACAATTGATGAATCACTACCCCTACTTTGAATATACATACACCTATTAGGGTTGTATCTTTCCAAATAATGGTACTTTATATTGAATACTGAAGATACCCCTTTCAATGTAATTTAAAGGACTGAGAACTGAAATAAATATTTAATTTTCATGATTTAATATTCTATAATAGTATATATAGTTGAAATTAAAAGATATTGTGATAAAATTTATGGGAAAAATGTAAGTTATCAAATGTTGTAGCGTAAAAAGATAATTATTGGTAAACCATAAACGCAGCCCTATTTTAGCACCCCAGTTCGCCGTGCCTTTAGACAATATAGACGGACACCCTAGACGTGCTACTTTGCCACTATTATTTGTTTGCTCTTCTATACTCGTCTATTTGTCTACGAGATTTTCAATTATTATTACTAAGAACAAATAAAGAGAAATTTATTCTCTTCGATACAAAAGGAGCTCAAAAACAAAACACTCAAAGCGTTCATGTATCTTATTAAAAACAATAACATTGTTATATATTATCCTATGAGTGAATCCCGTCCTAATTATGGAAACGTACTAACGATGAAGCCGAGCATCCCCGGGGCGACGCCTTTGTTATGGAGGCGCGAATGTGAAGCTCGTTACAAGATTCAATCTAGAAACTTGTTAATGAGACCCTCACTATAGTTACCCTCGTTTCCCGTTTTGTAATCATTTTTTAACTGATGACGTGGAAGGTGGTGATGTTACATGTTTCCTTTGTAACGAACTAAGTACGTACAATTACATACATGGCTATTATGAAATGTATTTATTTTATGTTAATTTAAGAATACGTCTTACTGTGTGATGTATGCGTCATATGTTTAACTCATGAATAAAAAAGGCTCATGAAATTATATTACTGTTCATGGAAAAGGTATTGAAAATGTCTTTATTTTCTCATTCGTTCTGATGTTAAGTCTTTTCAGTTTTTTGTTATTTTGACATGGTTATTACTCTGCTTCTCAGACTACACAGTTGAAGTTTATTTGCGTCTATTTATTATCAAGGACTTTCTTAAGTTTTTAAAGAAATTAAGCACTCATATTATTCATTAAAACCTTCTCTAAGTGTGAATTAAACAGGTGCTAACATCCGTTCAGCAGTTTAAGACGAATTTTTATTATTCTTAATCATATTATGATGAGTTTTTAATATGTCTAATATATATTGTGATTACGGGTTCTTGAGTGGCAACCACGAGCCGGAAGACGCAGTGTGGGTAGGCCCCCAACAAGGTGGTCCGACGACCTGGTGAAGATCGCGGGAATCCGCTGGATGCGGGTGGCACAAGACCGGTCGTCGTGGAGATCCTTTGGGGAGGCCTATGTCCTGCAGTGGACGTCTTTTGGCTGATGATGATGATGATGATGATATTGTGATTTAAATCTTCTCATATCTTGTTTTGATCATAACTGCACACCGAATAACCTTATCTATAATCTCTGGTACTCTCAAACTATGACAGATAAAAAAGTCTTCGAAATTTCATGACGACATTTCATTGACGAATTCCATTAAATTCCTTTTAAGCTGGAATTAGTAATCCCGGACACATTTGAAGACCTGATACTAAAGTGTCCATTAATACACGGAGCGACACGCACTCCGGTTTCAATGTAATGAGCCATTTCACGTAATTACGAATAATACGGTACCATTGAGCTTGTAATTTGGATCATTTTACTGAGGACAGTACAACCGCTGTAGTTAAATAACATCTGATTATAGTAATATATTATATTAGTCAGCTTAATTATATATACATAATTAAATTATGTTTAATATGAGCATTGATATCTTAATTTTGGTTTTTAATGTTTAAATTTCATGAATTATATATAGACTAATTGTCAAATTTAATTTGAGTATGGTTATAATTATATACATTTTGTTATATTTGAAACATTCATATGAAATTAACAAAAGATTACTTTTTCTTGCTTTATTTTATAGCTTCAGTAACTAATAAATTTACTTCCATATTTTAGTTTGTTTGTTAAATAGTCCGATTATTATTTTCAAAGGTAGTTTTTACAAATTTTATCTACTAAAAGGAATATAAAACCAAATATATATAATATTTACTGTGTTTGCATAAAATATATAATATTTATAGGTCTTTAACAAGTAACATTTACCCAAAAAATCCTACTTTAATAAGATAAATTTCACATACTTCTCTAGAAGTAAAAAAAACTCATTTCCATTCTAAAGAGCATTACATAACAAATATAAAAATAATATGAATTTAAACAACCCCTCAGTAACAAAGTTCGTTACTCGAAGAAGATATTTTCATTTAACTTAGTTGTAGCCCTCATATATTGTCTCTATGCACTTATTCTTAGATAAGCATTTATTGCCCTTCTAGTTTATAAACACAAAATTTCAGGGACATTTATTAAAATGGCGATAACCGAGTATTTATTGTTTCACTGTTCGTTTACACGCAAATGCTTGCGGCTTTTGTACGTGATAATCTCATTTATAGGATACACTCCCTTTTTGAAGATAAAATGTATTTTATGGTTATATGTAAGCTAGACAGATATTTTGATATATTTTTTTTAAACTATAAAAAAATCGAAATTTAAAAACAAACTTACATTAACTGTAAATGCAAAATATGTTTTGCTTCACACATTTCTACGAAAATATCATTCGAATTATAATGACAGTTTTTCATTTGCGTTAAATTATTTCATAATACATCGTCGCCCTTATCAAGCTTTGGTCTAGTCTTTTTTTGCGAATTAAATAATATAATATGTAAGTAACATATTAAATTATTAATGTTGTTAAATTAGCAACTTAATAACAGTTATTTTTTAATCGAAAATAAAAAGAGCGAAACCGGCTGAAAAGTCTAGTATGCTTAAAGTTATATAACGTAACGAAGTTTTAAATAATGTTGGAAGTAAATGTCTTCCAAAATTTACACCGTCTTCGGATCTCCGTTATCGTCATAATAAATTTCAATTTATCCTTTGCCTCATTTTCGGAGATAAATCCTTTATTTTCGTCTCTAATTAAAAATTACTGCCGGTTATATATTTATGTACTCAGGCTTTGTTGTTTTCAAAGAAAGTTGTATTATTATGAAAAAATTGCTTTTAAAATGTTTATATACTTTTTTTGGTAGTGATAATTTTATAATACTAAAATAAGAATTGAAAAATATTGTATGTGTTTTATTATATGTGTTTTTTTGTATTATTATAGTGTATGTGTTTTATTATATTTTTGTTTATTTATATAACTTAAATAACAGCTAGGCTATTAAAATTTATCGCTTAACTGAAATTGGGTATGAATATTAATGAGAAAATAATTATCACTCAGTTTTTAAATAAAATTTAGACCGGTTTTTGAATTAAACCTAATTAAAGTTATATACAACAATGCGATAAATTTAGTCACATTTATTTATTTTTATTTCTGCTTAGTGTTTTAAAAATATCATAAACTAAGTAATATACATTACGAGTATAAAAAATATACGTAATCGCCATAAATTTAATTTACTTGAATTCTTTAAAATAGACTACGTGTTATAAATACATTTCCAAGGTAAGTAAATTTCATAACAGATAAAGCACCGGGAACAGCCTACGGTGACTTTCTGTGAGTCGGGATGTACAAGAAAAAAGATCTGCATAGAATTACTTTTAAATAAAAAATAATCCCCCAGGTAGTATTTTTAGTAAATTCCAGACCAACCTTTATGACAGCTTCAGTTTAAGAATATATCGCCTTTAAATATTTTCAAGAATCAAAAGTGATATGTATATATATATATATATATATATATATATATATATATATATATATATATATATATAATATATAATAGGTCTGAGAATC